TTTATATGAAGCTGCTGGCATCAGTCACTGGGGGGCTGCGCCATCATATGCCATAAGATGATGGGGATATCAAATTGAAATACTAGAAGGCCGGTCAAAACTTTTATAAAAAATGTACGATTATTTATTGGAATGGAACACAAAAGATGAATTGACAAAAGAAGTAATGATAAAATGGGCAATTCAATTTGGGTATAACATAGATTATGACATTTGGGCAAAACTATGGAACGAAGGTCTGAAATTCACGGCGTGTACCATCCTAAAAGAAAATATAATGAAAATGATGTACCACTGGTATATCGCCCCTGTCAAACTAGCAAAAATGTACAGAATGAGTAACAAAGCATGTTGGAAATGCAAAACGAAAGATGGTGAATTTTTTCACATGTGGTGGACATGTGAAAAAATGAAAAAAATGGGATATGATTTATAACGAATTTTAAAAAATATGTAAATATACTTTCCCAAAAAAACCAGAGGCATTTTTGCTGGGGATGATAGGTGATGAATTAAAAAAAGCAGACCATTAATTATTTATGTATGCTACGACTGACGCCAGGATCTTAGTAGCCCAAAAATGGAAAACCCAGGAAATACCAACATTAATGGAGTGGCAGACAAAAATGGTCGAATATGCAGAATTGGCGAATCTGACCCACAGGATCCGGAACTAAGAAGAAACAAAGTTCAAAAAGGAATGGAGTAAATTTGTTGAGTACATAGGTAACAAGTGTAGAAGTTTAAAGACTGTAGCAGGGATAAAATGAATCTTGTGATGTGGATAGATTGTAATTAAGAATCTGTGGGAGTGAAAATTTAATATGAAAGGCGGATGAAGGGAGGGAGGGAAGTCCGGGCGTGATAGTGCACGTGGTAAATAAGTAGACATACGATTGTTGAACTGTAGAGTATTTATTTTGTTCGTTTATGTTATGGAAAACTTAATAAAAAGCATTCTAAAAACAAACAAACATGAGATAATGGTGATGGTGATTTTATATGCCACCCATCTGACTGGTTTTCGTGCTCTGCTGACTGAACGATCCCAGCTCAGCTTCTGCTATAACTGTACATATGCTAGAGATCTCTGTTAGAAGATCCATAGCTGGGACATCTTCACACAATTGATATTGCCTGGAGGACTGCCTGAAAACTTTGCCTGCAAATACCCTCCTTGATTTGGCTAGTAGAAGACCTTCACTCAGCTGTAGTGTTCAGGAGACAGAATTGTACGACAGGCTGAAAAACCTTGCAGTGATGCAAGACTCCTGTCATTTGTTTTAGACTTTTCGGAAAAGTAAATTTAGGAATCAATGACATCACTGCCGCGATTTCTAATCTTGACACAATGTACTCTGAGCATCTGACAGAACAATCAGTAATTCTGCAAAGAAAACCCTTTGAAGGCAACAGAAAGAAGGGGGAAGTTTTAATCTCTAGTGATTAACACAAAACATAATGGAAGGAAAGGCCGCTGAAGGTTTACATTCCTGGATGTGATGATAAACACATTGTTATTAGCTCTGGGCATATTATTTTAATGTTCTTATTTGTGACTTTTTCTCGCGTTTGTGTCATACTGAGCTTGTAAACCACCTTACAAACAAGAATGATGAGTGAGAAGAGTTTTAAAGTAAATAACTATGGAAACATACACATTTTCTGAACAGCTCTACAGTCTGTTCAGGCTCACATATTTTTAACTCCCTCTTGCATCTTTCATTGACCTCATTTATGACATTTCACTCTCTCTGAACATGGTTTAAGCTCAGAAGGATAGCTGCAGATCTTGGTTGCAATCTTGCAATGCAGAGGTTGGAGTACAATTAGGTATTCTCTTTTAAAAAATAAAAATAAAATATTTTATTATTAAAATAATTCAACATTAATACATACATATTACGAATATACAAACATACATTTCATACAACCGTTAAAAGTATTCATACATACCCACACTCAGTCTCACAGATACTTCCTTTCCCCATCACCACCCCTCACCCCACCCTTGTGTTAGACTTCCAATCTACTCAATTGCAATTTCTTTCCACTTCTATTACTTTCTTTCACACACTTTTAAATCAGTTTTCTACTTCTTTTTCTGTTACACATTGTTATCCATCTTATTTAGTATTTCAGTATTTATAACGGAACTTGTTTATTCTAATAGGAGTTCTGACTTTTCAATATGATTTTGCAAGTATCCTTTAAACACCTTCCAGTCCTTCTCTATCTTCTCTTTTGAGATCCTTCCAATTTCTCCCATTGTTTTGGATATATTGTAATACTCCAATAATTTGGCAAGCCACTCTGTTTTTGTCGGTATAATACCACTTTTCCAATTTTTCACAATCAATAGCCTTGCGGCTACTGTTGCATATAAATATAATGTCTTGTCTTCTTCCTTTAGACTTCCTGGTACTATTCCCAATAGAAAACCTGAACATTTTTTTCATTTCATTATATATTGTTTCCCAAAATTGTTTGATGTTTAAACAATTCCACCATATATGCATCATAGTACCTTTTTCAGTGTTGCATCGCCAGCAGACATCGCTACAATTTTTATTCATTTTTGCTATTCTTTCAGGTGTTAAATACCATCTGTGTTGTATTTTAAGGTAATTTTCTTTCAATATATAACACATAGTGAATTTCATGTCTTCTTTCCACAATTTTTCTCATTGTTCAATTAGGTATTCTCATAGCTATCAATGAAGTCCATGCCATCTCTCCATCTTATTATAAAGCAGTATGCATTTCATTCCTACATTTGGGACACCCCTCAGGTTCTTCATAGTAGTAATGGCAGTAGGCACCACTTTTTTATTATTTATTTAATCAATTTATAGGCCGCTTGATATTAAAAATCTCTAAGAGGTTTACAAAATAAAAACTACAAACTCACAAGGCTAGAATACAAATCAAATCAAAATACATGGGATGGTAGTCAACTAGGTTTCACTCAGTTTGAAATTATTGAACCTAACTTACCGTAGTCAGGTTTGCAGACCCTCCAAGTTTCCCTATTTCCCAGAATTACTGAAGCCATCCCAGTTTCTGATTTGATCCAAGAATGTCTCACTTTTCCTTAAGACATCGCTATTTTCATTGCAAAAATGTTGGAGGATATGGAGTTATCTGACCCCCGAGCCAAGGAGATAAGTAACTATATGACCTTTAGCAGATATCTGAAGGCAGCCCTGCATAGGGAAGTTTTTTTAAAAAAATTGTATATTTTTATAAATGTTGGAAGCCGCCTAAAGTGGCTGGGGCAACCCATTCAGATGGGCAGGGTATAATAATAATAATAATAATAATAATAATAATAATAATAGAATAAGGTAAAGGTAAAGGGACCCCTGACCAATAGGTCCAGACCTGACCGGATCTGGGATTGTGGTGCTCATCTCGCTTTATTGGCCGAGGGAGCCAGCGTACAGCTTCCGGGTCATGTGGCCAGCATGACTAAGCCGCTTCTGGCGAACTAGAGCAGCACACGGAAACGCCGTTTACCTTCCCGCCGGAGTGGTACCTATTTATCTATAGGTGTTCCTATTTTCATCGGAGAAATGCTGGAGGGTATATGTCCATTCGTTTCAATTTGCCTGCATTACTGAATGAATACCACCAAAAATAAAAATAAAAACCCAGCGTCAAAATACTGAAGTATAGTCTAAAAACTAACAGTCAGAAAATGCCTGAACAAACAAACAAGCATTTAAAAGGCATATAAAAGAAGTCACAGTTGACACCTTTTTGTTATATTGGGGAAGGTGCTCCAAAAAGACAGGTTACACTGCAAAAATGGCCTACTTCTGCTTTGTCACTACATAGCAATCTGCCATTCATGGCACAACCAGCAGGGTCTCCTCTGATGATAAATATCAAAGAGGATTTGCCACTTGATGCCCCCAAGCTGAGACAAACGCACCTCATGTTGGCATTCCCAGGCTGGTGTGCTTTTCCATGCACATAAAACAACCAGAACATGGAGGGATTTTAGTGTATGAACCTTTATAAAACACCACCTACTTGTAATTGCATCTTAATGTGGTAATTTAACAATTTACAATGTCCAGATTAAAACCCTAGCAAGCCCACCCTGGTGTTACAGGTAGAACTGGGTGAATCCACCAAACTCTTTTTTTTGTTTGAATTTTTATTAACGCTTAAAACAAAGAAGAAGAAGAAGAAGAAGAAGAAGAAGAAGAAGAAGAAGAAGAAGACATAAATAAACATCAAATATCAAGCATTTTTAAAACATAAAAATTAAAAGAAAATGAAAGAGAAAAGGAGAAAACGTCCAACTCTTACTTCATAATAACATTCAACTCATCTGTTTTCCATAAACCAACCTCTTTTCCCACAGTCTTCAAACCCCGAAACCACAATTTTCCTTAAGGTGCAGAAAATCCATAAGGGGATGAATTCACCCAACTTTGAGATGTGCATGCATTCTCAGAACACTCCTTATTGAAAATCAAATGTTTTAGCTGTGTGCAAAAAGCTTCTGCGGCATATTAGAAGAGGATTATATATTTGGATCCCTTTCCAATTATGTAAGGAGCCATTTGGCAATCTGGATTGACAGGCAAACTGTGGGTGATTATTGTAACCAAAGAACGAACTGTTCAATGACAAATCATCCTGTTTGCTTATTTGTGCTTGCCTGGGAAACTACAGCCACAAACTGCTCACTTGGACATTCATTTCCTTTGATCTCTCCTCCACCTTCCAAAACTCTTTGAAAAGTAAACTTACGATAAGCAGAAGAATGTGCTTTTAAAAATCAATCTGTGTTTCCTGATTTGGTTCATTGAGGGGCCTGGAGGTGTGTCACAGGGGACATAAATCTTCATAAGGATTGGCTATATTGACACTGTGTGCTAAGAGACTGCATTTTTCCTCCCAGTTTAAAGACCATAAAGCTATGGGAAAAGCAACACAGGGGCAGCTTTGTTAAACTTCAGAATGACAGCACAAATGATCATAAGATTACTAAAGTACATCCTGTATGTGCTTTCCTATTATCTAAATGACTTTGAGGAATGGAAGATGGTGGAATCCCACATTTCATACTTAAGCAAAACACCTGTTAAGTGTAGTTCCTTTTGCTGCTGGACCATTGCCAAACAGAACTGTGTTTGAGACAATACTTTTATTCTAATAATTACAAAATGCCGAGGTGGTAACTT